GGGCGCACGGAAACAGCAGCGGAGTGGCAGCGAGCCTATCGAGCGGTGGCAGTAAGCACAGTGGGGCTGGGATGAGCGGGAGCGGCATGGCGCCCAGCCCAGGCTCAGGCTCCTTCCCTGCTGCCTGCTGCTTCGCACACTACTACAGCCCTCGGGGGATGTCGACTGCCAGTTTTGCCCGATCCCCGCAGGCCAGGCCAAGGGACCCCACCGGTGCACAAATTCGTGCACCGGCCCCTCTAGTACTTTATAAAACCTTGGTTCAACTATTCTTATACTCAATGAAACAGAGAAAAGCAAAGCCTTTCTGATTTCAGCACATCCTTTACACATCAGAAAACCTAGGAAACTAGTGTATTTCTGGGACGTAAGATAAATTATTACCGCTTATCCATTGTCTCACATGAGCAGGCTAATGATGCAGGTGAATATTTCTTAGCAATTACCTACTTCTAGAGGAGTAGGCTGGTCATGTGTTAATAACTTTAAGCAACACAAAGTATAAATCAATGATTCTTTAGAAAATCTCAGTACTATCAGATACAGATCATGCTTCTTTTTTTTTTTACTTCTAATTTTTTTCAGATCATGCTTCTTATAAACCAAACTTAAAGTTGCAATAAAACATTCCATGGTTTAAAATGGGGGAGGGACAGTACTTTTGATGTAATACTTAATGTTAATTTTTTCTTGACTGTGATATGAAATATATACTGGAAGTATCATACTTCTTTTAGTAGCTCAAATATCTGAAATGAAATTTAAATGAAATGTTTACATTTCATTATCATCTACTCTTTTAATTTTAGCAATTAGTCTACTTGTTAATATACCATTCCTGACAAATAACTACCATATTAACCTTTAAATAACTTCCTATTTCCTATAATCCTTCATATAGTTGGTGGTGCGAAGATTAAAGGTTAGCCAATTAGCCACCCACTACAGCCCGGTTAATCACCTGATCTTGAGATGGTCACAGGCAGTGGAGTATGTGATGATATTTTTCCTTTTACAAAGATTTAAGTAATTGTGAGACTCAACAACACTCTCAAATATAAAGGGCAGTGGGCTTTTCAATGAGAAGCTGTGTCATTGCTTCAGAAGTCATGGCTGATCTTCTAAGAGACACTGTCATGCAGAGATTTCTTTAACAAGTTTCCAAATGCCCTAAATTAGTCAACCATTAATTGTTTAGACCACCGTCTCACATCAAGGCTCTCTGCTTCCGAATAATGGCCAGTAATCCGTAGGTAAAGCTAACATCCCATCACATGACAGCTACTCATTCAATTATGTGATTGCCACGTGAATGTCTAGCTAAAGGAAATGTTAATCCAAGCTGAAGTTTCACAATACTCTTCGCTCCTTAACAAGGCCACCTCTGAGGAGGAAGAGAAAAGAGGAGTAGGGGGGATGCAGAAGGACTCCTGGGAACAAGGGATGGGGAAGACAGAGAGGAGGCAAAGGATTTGGGTGGGAGTGGGAGAGGAGAAAGTACACAAAGGAAACAGGAAAAAGAAAGAAGTCGGGGCTCTAGGAGGACAGAGATCAACAGGTTCCCAGTGCGTCCTGGTCAGGCAGACTGATCCGGGGGACTGCTGCCAGTTCTCACGGGGCTTTGAAATACTGATTGGAAGATGAACCCCCGTTCTCCAACAGTGAATGTGCTGTGGTGATAATCTAGCATTAATGACAAACGTGCCATAGACAGCACGTCTACAACATTTTAAAGTGCTGCAAGGCTTTCTGGCCGTGTGTCTCTGTAGGTCAGGCCCTAAAGACATATGCCACCACCACCCTCCTGTCCAGTGACAAGGCAGCCCACATGGATATCAAGAATTACAAAATCAAACAAAAATGTGGGAGAAATCCAGAGGTCAGAGAAGCAAACAAAAACCCTGGAGGAGCCAGAAGTAGAAACTGACCGTGAGGAGGACTGAGGAAATCTTTGTAAGTCACTGGGAATAACAGACACACCGACCGGCAGAGAAGAGAATGAGGCTTCCCCAAAGACAGAGCTGAAAGGGCCCTGACAATTGGAATCAGAAATGATTAGGCAGCCTGACAATCAGGAGGCAAAGGGCAAGGTTGAACGGTGAGCCGGAACGGTCATGTCTACAACTGAATGCAATCCTCAGAAGGCCAGGTCCAAGAGGAAGAATGATCGGGGTATAAGAAGTTGGGGATGGAAGAGAAGGCTTAAATGTGGGGTTAGGGGTTTAAAAAAAATAAAGGCAAAAACAATACTCTGACATAGGCAGGTGAATAAAGTCA